CAGACTAATTTATTTGATCACGAGTCAAGTAATCAAAATTTAGCAAAATTATAAATTCGTACGCAGTACATTCGTTCAATGATTATTAACATATTCTTCTATCAAATTATTAAAATTATTAGAATGTTTTACAATATCGTGATTCTTGAATTTAAAATAAAAACGACAGTTCATCCGTAAATAAGGCTTTCTAGTCGACTTTTTAATTTATTGATGGGCATTTTGTATTTTTTTCTAGCCAGTAAGTGTAAAGTTTAATGAAAATTGATGTTATGATGAAATAACATTGACTTGCCCATTAAGCAGCATACAGATCATCATCGCCTTGATCCTGACCAAATCCAGAATTAGTAACATCCATAGCGCTCCCGCTTGGCCCATCTGTGGATGAACCTCCAATACCACCATCAGGGAATTTGAAATTTGGCCCGAATCCGCGGGATTGTTGTAAATTCTGAGCAAAAATTTCATACTTGCGAATATCATTATCAGATACAGAACGGCGGGCAAATCTCATAGCCTCTTCGAAATGTGCCCTGTCATTAAGTAAACAAAATTAAGTAAGATATGAGTCCATTGGAAGTAGTAAACTCTGAACTATACCTTGTAATTTCCGGGACTGGGTCAACCTCAACATCATCTTCATCCATAGGAACTTCTTCTCCAGCCTCCTGTTTTTCTTTTCGCTCTCGTTCTCGTTGTACATCCTTTTCAATACTCTCCCTGATGGCCAATTTACAAGCCCGCTGACAAATTTCTGTCAAATCGGCACCAGAAAAACCATGTGTTGACTTGGCCAAATATGGTAAATCAATATCGTCTGCAACAGGTGATTTTCGCAGGGTTGCTTTTAAAATTGATAATCTCGATCCTTCATCAGGAAGGGGAATGTAAATTAATTGATCAAGGCGACCAGGACGGAGCAAAGCAGGATCAATTTGGTCGGGACGATTCGTAGCACCAATGACGAAGACATTTTTCTTGGCATTCATGCCGTCCATTTCAGTAAGAATTTGATTAAGTACACGGTCACCTGCACCACCACCGTCACCAAGTGAAGCACCTCGTGCCTTAGCGATTGAATCCAGTTCATCAAAGAACATCACACACGGGGCGGCAGCACGTGCTTTATCGAAAACATCACGTACATTTGCTTCAGATTCACCAAACCACATCGTTAATAGTTCGGGACCCTAAATATCAGATTTATCATGTTATTTTAATAAATAAATAAATAAATATAGTATATACATTAACCAGATAAAATTTACCTTAATACTTATGAAATTAGCTTGACATTCGTTTGCAATAGCCTTGGCTAATAAAGTTTTACCGCATCCAGGAGGACCATAAAATAGTACACCTTTTGAGGGGGACATGCCAAACTTCAAGAATTTCTCTGGATGTTCTACTGGATATTGTACAGTCTCCTGAAGTTCTTGTTTGACCTTTTCTAGTCCACCGATATCATTCCATGTTACCGTTGGAACTTCAACAACTGTTTCTCTTAAGGCCGATGGGTTGGATGCACCCAAGGCATACTGCGATTAAAAGAGTATAAGTAATATAGGAAAAAAAAAAAAATGGAGTTTACTTTTTTAAAGAGCACGTACTCTGAAGTTATCCATGGTAACAGCCAGCGAATCTAAAATTTCAGCATCAATAGTATCGTCTTCCAGATCAATCAAATCCATTTTCTCACGGATTTGTTGCATAGCAGCCTCCGAGCAAAGAGACGCTATATCCGAGCCAACATAACCGTGGGTCTCGGATGCGATCTATTTAAAAGAAATGATAATTAATTATGGAATAGTTAATCTAATGCATAAATATTTCTTATAATACGCACTTGTTCTAAATCGACATCTTCATCCAATTTCATATTTTTAGTATGGATACGAAGAATTTCTAATCTTCCAGTTGGATCAGGAATACCGATATCAACTTCACGGTCGAAACGACCAAATCGTCTTAAAGCCGGATCAATGCTGTTTGGACGATTAGTCGCGGCCATAACGACAACATTTGATCTTGCTTTCATACCATCCATCAAAGTAAGAAGTTGAGATACAACACGGCGTTCGACTTCTCCATTTGTCTATATAACAATTTGAATTAATTTTACATATAAAAAAAAATTATTAAATAATAATTCGTTAAACTTACCTTCTCACGTTTTGGAGCAATAGCATCAATTTCATCAATGAAAATGATAGATGGGCTATTTTTTTCCGCCTCCTCGAAGGCCTTTCTTAGATTACTTTCTGACTCGCCAGCCATTTTTGACATAATCTCGGGACCATTAATTAAGAAAAAGAACGCACCAGTTTCGTTCGCTACTGCACGGGCTATCAAAGTTTTTCCAGTGCCGGGTGGACCATACATAAGAATACCACGCGGAGGTTTAATACCAATAGATTTAAATAGTTGAGGGTGCCGGAGTGGAAGTTCTACAAGTTCGCGAATTTGCGCCATCTGCTTACGACATCCACCAATATCATCATATCCTACATCAGCTAAGTTAGCCTCTTCATCTTCTCGTTTGATTGGATCGCCTTCACAATGTATAACGGTATCTTGTGCAACCTAAAGTTTATCGAAATGAGTGAATGCAGAAAAAATCGCAAACTATAGACTGATCATACTCACAATACAATAATCTGGTGGGTCCGTTTCGACCACTTTAAATTCAACAGCTCTCATACCACCTCTAACCAAGAACAAGTCACCCTTTCGCACCGGCCGATATGCTTCCAAGAAATATGGTTTTAGGTATACATCGAACAAGTTACCCGTTACACCTTCAATTGTGTCATCGATCGGCAACACATGAATTCGTTTCCCGTATTTAATTTCGGTGCATGGATGAATCGATACCACATCACCAAGGCGCACACGCAGGTTATTTCGTACAACTATACAAAATCCGACATGATAGACATAAATTTACAAATCGCTCGTCTTTTTTACAAATACTATGTGATCTAACAAATAATTCATACCTTTATTGATTTTAACTTTTGTATCTTCACATGTATCATCAGCAAGAACAATCAATACGGTATCACGTCTCTTTTTTCCTTTTATCAACACCGTATCTCCGCGAAAGAGCTGTAACTTTTCCATAGTAGCCGTAGAAAGGGACATTACAGAATTATCATCGTTGGTTGCATCGTCAACAATTAATTTATTAGGAGCAGGTTTTTTGCGAAGTATTGCTGTGGCAGGATCATGGGTTGGGTCTTGTTCCGGGTTTGAATTATCACTATAACCGATGTCGTTTTACCATTAATAAAATGTCAAATAAAACATAAAATGGAAGTCCGAGTTTGCAATCCCGAAGAAAGAAGGAAAAAATAAGAACGAAAAGTGAGTAAGAAAGTTCATGATAAAATAATAGTTTGCCGAGCTTTTAAATCGAAAAAAAAAAAAATCGAATATGTACACTAATTTTCCTTTTCCTTCTGCCATTTTTTTTTAAAACGTCAATCTTTAAGTTTAATTGAAAGGCTCTAATAGAACGCGGAGTAAAATTTTGAATCAGTAACATATTTTATGAGCAAGATGCGAAGTTTTTATACGCAAAAGAGACTTACAGTGCGTAGCACCGGTCTGGACCGTAGTTGACTTAAAAGAACATTAAAGAAGCAATATATCAATAATTAAGTGCTTACGCAACTCCTGATGACGCTTCACGTTAGAGTGTCGCACAATAATATAAATAAGTTGAGTACTTACGTATACAACAATGCGTACGTAATTCATTAATTGGCCAAATATAGCAATTTTTTTTTT